TTTAACCTGCTGTGCTGCCTCTCACCCTCGTGCTCTGGGGCAGCACAACACCAAGAACTCCCTGCCAAGGCTCCAAACAACCTGCACCAAGGTCCTCACACTGGTGCTGTCCTGTTGACATCAGCACCACCACCCCTGTCCCTGACACTCCAGTCCATGTCCTTGCTGCTTTTTTAATTAGGATTGCACTTGAAGCTTTAACCTTTCTAATTAATTTGTTGTACCTCATTAATTTCCCCCGTAAACTTTTTCAACACCTCCTCTCCCCAAATATTTTAGAGTCCAGCAATTAACTTCTCTCATCTCCTCTATCTCACTGCCACCTCTCCCTGCTCACACTTTTGTTATTTAGGTGTTTTTAAATCATATTGGTTAGTTACTGACAGCCAGTGGCAGCGTGTGAATGATAGTCTCTCATTAATTAATAGTTTTACATTATGAAAAAAGAAGAGTATGAGCATCAAGAGGGAAAACCAGAGCACGGGAACTAAAAATACAGCTTTGACTGTCTAACTGTCAGTGGTGTGCTGATATATTGCTCTTAGTAGACAGCTAATTAAAAATGGGAGTTTAGAGGGAAATAAATGAGCAGCTGCTGTGTATTTTCACAGCAATCAAACCCGAGTTGCCCTGTGCCACACGTGAGGTCATGGGCACTGTTCCTCATGGCAGGATGAATGGGAGAGGATCCTGGAATATCCTGAGATAGAAGGGAGACACAAGGATCACCCAAGTCCAGCTCCTGGCCCTGAACTCTTGATAGCCCAAGAATCCCTCCAGGAGCCTTTGGAGAGAAGGCTGGGAGAAGGAGGATGAGAAAACCCTGATTGCTCAAAAAGTCATGGAATCATGGAATGGTTTGGGTTGGAAGGGACCTTAAAAATCATCCCATCCCCTGCCATGGGCAGGGACACCTTCCACTAGCCCAGGTTGCTCCAACCTGGCCTTGGACACTTCCAGGGAGGAATTCCTTACCAACATCCCATCTAAACCTACTCCCTGGACTAACCCAGGGTGCTGTGCCCTGCAGGGGAGGCTAAATGGGGACACCAGGTTGTCCCTGTGGCCTCAACAGCCCTTCCCAGAACCCTTGTCCCGGGATTCTGCCAGATCAACCCCCACCTTCAGCACTTCAGCTTCATTCCAAACCCATCAACCATTCCCTGGAGGAGGAGGGGACAGGGAAAAGTGACCCAGACTCTCCCCAGGCACCATGTTGTGTAAAATTTCAGTAAAACTAAGATATGAGGAGATGAAGTAACTGAGACCTGCACTGAGCTCACAGATACTCCCAGTTCCATGGGAGGAACCATTGGGACACTCAGCAATCCATGGATTGTGTCCCTCCTGTCCCATTCTGGCACCACAGACCACACCTGAACACACAACTACACCTGGCAGTCAGAAAACCAGCCCCAAGTTATGGTAGAGAAGAATTAATTAACAAAAGCTCCATTAAGATAAAAACGAGGTGCTGGATTCAACCAGAGTTTACAAGGACATGAAATGATAAATTAACCAAGTTTGAAATGGAAATTGCACATGCTAATTACATGATTTATGTTACACAAATAATGAATTAATATTAATTAATTCCAGAGCTCTGGAGCCCATTCTGAGTTATGGCATCACAGTTCCTGTGCCAAAAAGGCCTTCACCGTTCCATCTTGGTCTGTTAAATCAACTTTCTTTAATATTCTTCTTCCTGTGACCACTCAGACTCACAAACTATTCAGGAGAAGTAAATTTTTCTTTGCTTTTTTAATTTAAAATGTTTAGAAAGCACCTTGAGACGATCTCAGCAGAACACATGCTACAGTTTCAAAACCTCTGAGCTTTTGAAAATAGCTCTACTTTATTTTTTAGAGAAAGGCAATGAAGAGGGAAGCAATTCCCACAAAACCACAAGTACAGTGAGTCCTTCTGGATTTCATTATCCCCTTATTGGCTCCACCTTCTCGTGGATTCCTGTTAATAGGCTGCCAATTTGATTATTGGGATAGATGTGGCACCTCCCACTGATATTAAATCAGGATTCCTACAGTGCCTGACGTGTCCTTGGGATTCTGAGCCCTGGGAATGGCCGGGAGCAGCTCACCCAGGCAGGCAGAGCAAGAGCTCTGGAGCAGCAGCAGCACAATGGCCACGTCAGGAGGAGAGGAAACGCTCCCAAACTGGGATGTTTTGGTGCCTGACAGGGCAGTCAAGGGCCCTGCAAAATCCAGGCTGCAATGCAGAGCCCCCCATCACTGGAATTCCCAGGGAGGTGGATCCACTATCCCTGGATGTGTCCAGGGAAGGCCTGGTCATGGCACTCGGTGCTCTGGGCTGGGTGGCAAGGTGGGCATGGGGCACAGGCTGGTGTGAGAAATAAATAACCTGGTTTTATCATAAGCAAAATGAATTTAGTGGAAAAACAGAGGGTGGTGGGATTTTTCTTTTCTTTCATTTAATTCCAATGTTTTTTTAGGCACCTCATGGAGGCTGTAAGGTGAAAGGCCCATCTGGGCCTGACACCAGGGAAATGTTGTGGTGGGGATGGGGAAAAAATATAAAAATGGAAAATATCCCCTGGCCACAGGGGCAGCCTTTGTGTGCAGAGAGACCCCCCTGTACAAGTACAGGGGGTACATCATCAATCAATTAGGAGGGAGGGTGATACCCCCTCCCAAATTAAAAAAATTACCTTTTAAGATAAAATACCTGTTACCTGTTGAATATTTAACACCTTGAGTGACCAAGAGGGTACAAAAAGGGAGTGTTTTTCAAACCACGGGTGCATTTTCCAGGCTGTGTGACTTGAGGTTGCACCCAGCGCTGCAATAAAGGATTTCTTGCTGCAATTTTCCTTGTCCTGCAAGTGTTTTTTGCCGTTTCAAAAATTGAAAGCAAGGATTTTTCCAACACTGGACTCCATGCTCCGGGAGGGCTTTTCCAACCTCAGTGATTCTGGGATCACAAGGAAAGTGTGAAAGGTGTGACATTTTCCAAGTGACCACTCCCTCTTTGCTAAAATATAAATATCAGGGACCAACGCTTGCTCAGTGCCCAGGGGAGGTACCAGGGCACCACAGCCCACCTGGTTTGAGCTGATGGAGTAAACCTGGGTGAGAAGGGTGATGCCAGGCAGAAAAAACAGAGAGAGAGAACAGGCCAAGAGAGCAAGCTGTGCTATCAGATGCCTGGTGCCCCGGGAGCAGTGGCAGTGATTTCTGAGGCAGCCTGGAAGTGTCAGAGTGTCCCTGTCACTCCGGGCTCCGTCAGCTGCACACAGAGCCCGGCTCTGGAACGCTCTGCTGAGGGGATGGAATGGGAGCTGACACTTTCTGTTCCTCTCTGAGTTAGCACAACTCCCAAATGAAATTTTCCGTGACACTGCTGCCGTAATTTGGGAGGCAATTTCGTCGGGAGTGCAGGTGGAATGGGGGGTTTGGGGTTTTATGTAAGGAGAGGAGAGGGGGGAGGGTGTGGGGGAGGCACATGGAACACACGAGTTGTTTGTAGTTCCAGCAGAAAAAAAGAGCCAGCCCTGTTTGATCCAATAGTCAGTAAGGCAATAACAAAATTCCAGAGCTTCCCATCAGTCTCTTTCCAGGGAAAGCCCTAATCCTGCCACCTCCCTACCCCTGGCCAGGGAAAAGGCACTGACGAGGCTCTGCTGAAGGAATAGGAAAGGGAACATTTGGATTGCTCCTCTCAAAACCACTGTGCAAGAACAACACTTTCAGAGTCCCTTCTCACGAGGAAAAATGGAAAATATCAGCGTGGAATTTGTGTGTGGATCAGAGACTGCATCCCATGTCATCCCATTGCTCTGGAATGCTGAGCTCCCCTCATCCCCCATCCCATTGCTCTGGAATGCTGAGCTCCCCTCTTCCACTGCATTCCATGCCATCCCATTGCTCTGGAATGCCGTGCTCCCTCATCTCCCATTCCATTGCTCTGATCCCATTGCTCTGGAATGCCGTGCTCCCCTCATCCCCCACTCATGGCACAGCCACACTGGGCCCTTCCAAAGCCAGGCTGGAAGGGGCTTGGAGCAACCTGGACTATGGAAGGTGTCCCTGCCCATGGCAGGGGGTGGCACTGGATGGGCTTTAAGGTCCCTCCCAACCCAACCCATTCTGTGTTTCTATGATTTTAAACAATCCAGACTGGAATGTGGACTGGATTCCCAGTTCTCCCAAAGCAGAGCAATCCCATGGACTTTGTTGGAGCTCTGGGAGTTTCAGCCACCTGAGAATGTTGGTGGTTTATATTCTTATTAGTTGGCACTTCCATGTGAGCCTGTTTGGATTTGGAGATGAGCTGCCAGATGAGTTTTATTCCTGACTGTGTTAGGTGGGATATTGGGAAGGAATTCCTCCCTATGAGGGTGGAGAGGCCCTGGCACAGGTTCCCAGAGAAGCTGTGGTTGCCCCATCCCTGGAAGTGTCCAAGGCCAGGTTGGAGCAACCTGGGCTAGTGGAAGGTGTCCCTGCCCATGGCAGGGGGTGGCACTGGATGGGCTTTAATTTCCCTTCCAACCCAAACCATTCTGGGATGCCACAATTCTATGAAATAACTATTCCAATTAGATTATCCAAAAGGTCCATATATCAGTTTTCTGGGTGAATACATAAGCCATAAACTCGAGGTCAAGCATCCCAGAACAACATATTCCTCACCAGGTCTGGGGAGTTCTGACTCCAACCCCTCATTCCAGGGAAGCTCACGCTGAGTTTCTCTATAAATCATGGAGTCCTGGAATGGTTTGGGTTGGAAGGGACCTCAAAGCCCATCCAGTGCCACCCCTGCCATGGGCAGGGACACCTTCCACCAGCTCAGGTTGCTCCAACCTGGCCTGGGACACTTCCAGGGGTGGAGAGTCCACGACCTCTGTGGGCAACAAACCCTTAAATGAAAAGAAGCACGTTTTAAGGATTCTGTTTTAATTTCTTTGCTTTGAAGAAGTGGCACCACAAGCTGGAAATGCTGCCTGGCCCTCAGGCCCTGCCTTTGTCTCTGGGGATCCTTGGACAGCTCAGTTCTTTCTTTGCTTCCTCAGTGCATCAAAATAGGCACCAAAATCCTGGAATCATGGAATGAAAGAATGGGTTGGGATGGAAGGGACCTTAAAGATCCCCCAGTGCCACCCCCTGCCATGGGCAGGGACACCTTCCACAGGCCCAGGTTGCTCCAACCTGGCCTTGGACACTTCCAGGGATCCAGGGGCAGCCACAGCTTCTCTGGGCAACCCAAACCCCAGCATGACACAGAATCTCCATATTACAAGTCTAATACCTCCTTTTTCTAAGGATTAAAGTATTTTAGTAAAGACTACAAAAGAACATTTGCATGTACTCCAGCCCTCAAACTTGTGGGACTTAAATCTAGGAAGATTAGGCCTGTTCCACTTTGGTTGGTTAATAAAACAGATGGGGAAAAAAAAAAAAGCCCTAAGTAACCACTGCAGAGTTAATTTTCTCATTAAAAAGCTGTAATTTCAAATGGCTTTTTCCCCCCTTTGTAGGGTTTACAGGGATCCAGCCATGTGCTCATGGGATAGCTTTACAGATAAAAAAAAAATCCTGTAACCCGTGGGAGATTTATTTTGCTAAGGAAGAATGTAAATTTGGCAGAGAAAAGCAGAATCAGGATGATGTTGACAGCTGCCTGAAAAAAAAAAACAAACTATTGGTGGAAACCTAATTTTACCACTGGAAGCAGATTCTAGCAATGAGATGAATAACTGGAAAAACAATTTTCCATTAGAAACAGTTCCATGGGGTAGTTTTCAAGCAGCTGAAAGATATCTTCACATATATATGCATACATCCATAAATCAAGCCCCTTCAGACAAATAACAAGTAGGAAATTAAATCCAATCCCTTGTTACGTACACATCAGCATATATTGATAAATAGACACCAATGCTGTAAATATTTTGCTTCTGGTAAGGACTTTTGAGGAAAATATTTTCTGCTTGCGTCTAAATTAGAGTAGAGGTAGATTTTACAAAGGAAAATGTCATTTTTTAATGAACACTTTATTTTAGAAGAGTTATTTTCCCTTAAAAATCAAACATAAGTTGGCTTAAAATATGTTTGTGCCTCTGAGTGGGGTTGTTGGGGTGTTTTAACCTTGATTTTTGCAGTCACAAAAGTACATCTGCTGACTCCTTACTGTTTAAACTAATTAATATCCATGTAAAGTCTGTGTAACAAGGAATGGGAGCAGCTGAAACTTTCCAGAAGGGAAGCTCAGCGGATTTACAGAGCAGGTTACAACTCTGAGCAGCAGGGAAATACAGCTCCTCATCCAAAGGAAGTTTTATGGGCAATGAATTAATTACACCAGTTCTCTAAAATTTGACTTCTCGACCTCCCCACATTCATTAGGTCTGGAGAGGGAATGACATGAGAGACTAAGGAAGGAAAAAGAGGGAAAACAACCCACGTTTTCTGGGTTTTTAGGAAGACTGATTGTTAGAGTTTCCTCCTCCTGCCTGGAAGCCCCTTTGGAAAAGGGCCTGGAGGGACAGGACAAGTGGGAATGGTTCCCACTGCCAGAGGGTGGGGTTAGATGGGATATTGGGAAGGAATCCCTCCCTGTGAGGGCAGGTTAGATGGGATATTGGGAAGGAATCTTTCCCTGGGAGGGCAGGGAGGCCCTGGAATGGATTTCCCAGAGGATGCCCCATCCCTGGAAGTGTCCAAGGCCAGGTTGGAGCACCCTGGGCTAGTGGAAGGTGTCCCTGCCCATGGCAGGGGTGGCACTGGATGTGCTTTAAGGTCCTTCCAACCCAACCCACTCCAAGGTGATTCTAATGTTTAATCCTCTCCTTGATTTAACCCCCTGTAACCAACACACACAAAAAGCACCTTTCTCCTCCTTTAACCCCCACACTCCTCTGGCAAGGGGAAGAAAAAGCCAGCTGTCTGTATTTGAGGTTCTGATGTGATTTAACAGATCTCTCCCATGTCAAGGTCTTTCACTTTTGTGAGTAAAGAGACAAAATCTGGATTTTAATTTTTTTCCCCATCACTTTCCGGTCTGAATTCTTTTGTCTGCTCTAAAAGAGAAGAAAGCAAAGGAAGTAAATCCATCACTGGGAAGAATAGTGTGAAGTAAGTTATAATACATATGTCATACATGATTTAGAAGATTCTGGCACAAGAAGTGAGCAGCAAAGCTCCGCATGCAGATCCATCGATAACGCCGTGATTTATGTGACAGCATTTAAGGGAAAAAAATTACGAAGGAGGAATACACAAAAATAAATTCCCTTCAACACAGCCTAAATTTAATAAAGCAATCTAGCAACTGCCAGCAAATAGCAGAGCTCCAGAGTGATTAAATAAGTAGAAGCATAAATTATGCAGCACAGTTAATCAACGAGCGGGGCTGTTCTGCACAGCGGTGCAACGCTCTCATCACGCACTGCTCCGTGTTCTGCAGCACCCACGTGCTCCCACTCCATCCCCAGAGCCCTCATTGCCTTGGGTCAGCATTCCATACTTAGATTCCAGAGGGTTTTTCCCCTTTGTAACACGGCTCGGGATTCCCTTTGTTCCCGGGGTGGGGTTTTTGCGGCCGTGCAGGAGGAGCAGCCGGTCTCTGAGGTTCGGTTTAAAACACAAAAAAGCCTTTCCTTCCCCACCCCCTTCTCATTTGGAAAGATTAGGGCTAATCTGAACAGTGCCCTGGTGGAAATCCAGGATTTCTTTTCCACCCTCACTTTTTCCACTTGCAAGCAGCAGCTCGAATTCCCCACACCCTCGTCGCTCAGTTGTGGCATCACTGGCTGGATCTATTAATAACTTTCCCGATTTCTACTGTTAACTTAAGTTTCTCCTCATCCATACGTGCACAGCTTTCCTTTGCCATTTCAAAGGCAGAAATTTATGCTGGCAACTCCCAATGCATTTAAAGGGTGCTAAAATGGCATTTAAACGAGACTAGCAGCTCAGTCACTCCCTCACCCACCTGAGCTGGGAGAGACCAAGGTTGGATTTGGTGGGTACCCAAAGCTTTGATTTAGCTCCCTCATGTTCACAGGTATTTCCATGTCATTCCCTTGGCAACTGTTGAGAATTGTGTGATTATAACCCTTCAAAAACCCGAGCTTGGAAGTTTCTTCCCCTCTGCACCTCTCCTTTCATCATCCTTAAAATTCGCATTCGTGAGCCCCGAGTTCTCGGAGATAATGAAGGATGGGAATGCTGGAAATCATGAGGTGTCAGGGTAATTTTAATCTGCCTGAGACTGACAACTGTCAGGCTCCTTTGAAAAGCGCAGGTTTAAAAATAAAGTCTGGAATATGAACAATTCTGGATGTGAAGAAACTGAGGAATTGAAGAAATTACAAATGAAGGTCTTATTTTCTATTAATTGATCCTGTGCCTCTGCCCTTAACAGATAGGATTCAAATACCTTTTATATGAAACCAGTATAAGTTTTCAAGCCCTTAATTCATAGATTCTTGCTTTTGTCTTGTTTTAATTCAGTCCTCACACCTCAGCTGAGTTGGTGAACTGATCTCCCAAGCAGAGCAGGAATTCATCCTTCTGAGCCACTTCTGCTCCAGGTCTCTCTCCCAGAGCTGCAGACACAGGTTATGTTCAATAAATGGCCCCACTCCACCAGTCTTTCTTATTTGCTACTCAATGATGCCAAGACCTTCCACCTGAACAGGCAAAAATACCTTTCCTTGTGTCAATGGGATCAGAAAATGGATTTCCTTTAGTAGCCAGTTATAAAATACAATATATTTATGTCCTGAAGAGCTGGGCCAGGTTTCATTGTAGGAGTCCTTTCAGACAAGAGGTGCAAGTGCAGGTGGACCAAGCACTTCAAAGTACTTGGTGCTGTCAACAGATATGAAAAGCCAGGAGGAAAAATGACCATTCACTTCAGGTCAGGAAGCAGAATTGGGGAATATTGTCTTATATCCTTTGTAAGGCAGAGCCCAGTGAAATATCCCACAGCTTCTGTCCCCACAGGTCTTTATTGGAACCAGCAGGTCATAAACCTGGAGAAAATATCCTGTCAAAGTGCCCTCCAGGAGCTCCTGCCAATGGTGGGGGCAGGTTCTTCTCCCCTTCCCCCTGTTCAGGCCCCAAAGAAACTTTGCCAACCTCCCCCTCAGAGCCACCAATTCCCTTCCCTTCTGCCCATGGATGGAGGTGAAAAGGTAAATCCAGGCTTTGATTTCCTTTGGGTTTCACCCAGTTTCTCACCACCAAGTTCACAGCTGGTGATGCTTTGGGGCTGCTGGAACCTCATGAGGAATTCAAGTGTCAGGCAACGACCAGCACATTAAAGCTTTCACAAGGTTTAATCTAAAGAGTGGGGAGGAAAAAAATAAAACACTCAATATAATCCCTGTTTCTCTGAAGGGGAAGAGGGATCTGGATGCTCAGAGATGGGAGAACTGGGCAATGAATTTTTACCTTCTCTCCAGTTTGACAAAGTCAGAAACAAGTCAAGACTTCCCTCACTTCAAGGTGACTTTGGAGATATCACTTTGAAGCTCTCCATATATTTTGCTTTTTAAAGTTAATTGAATTCCCTCTGACAGCAAGTGGACTGGAATGATACTCTTGCAGCCTTCTATCAAGTTGCAGGAACATCTGAAAACTACCTGAGATGCATTTTTTGTTCATTTTCCTTGTTTATCTGGCCCAGATTTCTCTCCAGTGACCCACGTGGAATGTCACTGCTCATGAAGGCAATGCAGGCTCCAGGTTTGTCCTAGTCACCTAAAAACCTCTCCCATTATATTCACAAATACATAAAGTATATCTATATATTACATGTATATAAAATATACAGACAGATATTACATATATATATGAGGATATAATATTTTACCCATAATAAGCATCATGTTCTATGTGAGAACAACTGTCAGACAATTTATTTTTTAACTTCTGTTTCATAATTAAAGCACTAAACCCCCATTAACCTCGGGACAGGTTTGTGGAGGTCACCAGGCCTGAAGTGACCCACCAAGCCTGGTCTATATTGAAATTTCTGTGCATTTCTACTGCAGAAACAACAATAACATGTGAGGCTTCTGTTTGCCAAGAATTTAGAAAATGTGGCTTAAACTTAGCCTAAGACTTGTAGGGTAAAACTTTCAGCTCAATCCATTTAAATGGTTCAGTTTAACACTTTATTTAAAGAACCTTCAAGAGCTTAAAAATCACAGAAGTTTGAGAGCAAACAAGAATTCTGAGCTCTCTCCTGCCTCAGTCTGCACCTGCAATTCAGGGCTGAGATTTAGTCCCAGTCAGGTACCTGCACTAAAACCAAAAACACGTGAAGTGCAGACCAGAGGCTGTTTAACACATGGATTGTCCTCAAATGGGCACCTGCAGCCCCTCAGCACAACACACCCCCCCCTGGAGTGCTCCTCTAATTACATTGATTACTAATTTGTCTTAAATTAAAACTAGTTCAGCAACGAGCAAACAGCCCCACGCTGCCACTGGCTCAATAAACTGTATTTTCCACAACTTTGCTACAGGTTTAATTCTGTTAATCTTCCTCCTCCTCTCCCAACAGTGGAGAAATATGAGTGTGTAAAACCAGGAGTCCTCTGGACTCGAGGGGTAATTAAAGCTATGCTAAAGAGGTGTGAAAGATGAACTTGCTTTACCACTGGGATGTAAGAAATTATCCCAGCTTTCTCTAGGTTTTGGGAAAAAAGTCCCCTGTAGTTGTGGCTGAGTCTGGAGTTTATGAACCTCCAGCCTTCCTGCTGTTCTATTAATTATTGATTTATTAATTATGCAGCACGCACAAACAAACAACAACCAGTTTATGCACAGGGTTGTGTTCTCAGGAGCCCCACAGCACCCCCAGAACCCTCAGAAACACATTGGAGTGTGTCCTTGAGCCCTTGAGCCAGAATCCCTCAGCTCTGCTGAGCACCAGCAGGGATTTACTCCAGGGGACCTCCCAGGACTGGGCTGTCTGGGAAGTTTTATGGGGACATGATTAACAACCAGCCCAAAGCTTGAGTGATCCCACATGGATCCCACCCTCTGGCTCTGCCCCAGCACTTGCCAGGGTGGCCAGAGGCATAAACTGGAACGAGGAAGGTTTCCTTTGAACATCAGTAGAAGCTCTTTCCCATTGAGGGTGTTCCAACATTGGGGCTGCTCAGAGGAGCTTTGGAGTCTCTGTCCTTGAAATACTGCAAACCCAGCCCCAGGTGAGCCTGCCCTGAGCTGGAGGGCTGGGACAGACCATCTCCAGAGGGCCCTTCCAGCCTCAGGGGCTCTGCTTTTGCGAAGTTCTCCAGAGCCAAGCACACCAGATCAAGAAGGTTCCAATGAGAGGCTGGTACTACTCCCACACATCCCCCTCATGGAATGTCAAAGGAATGTAACTGGCTCCTGAAACAGGGTGTTAATGAATCACAGAATCATCACAGAGTCATGGAATGGTTTGGGTTGGAAAGGACCTTAAAGTCCACCCACCACCCCCTGCCATGGGCAGGGACACCTCCCACTGTCCCAGGCTGCTCCAGCCTGGCCTTGGACACCTCAAGGGACGGGGCTGCCACAATTTCTTTAGGCCATGAGGTACAATAATGAAGGTTATAAGGTGTTTGCACCTTTTCCCCAGCAAACCCAGCTGTCCTGTGCAGGATCCAAACTCCAGAGCACATCCCAGGGCACAAACTGAGCTCTAATTTCCTGCTTCCATACATTTCTTACTGGAAGGCCTCCACCTGTTTCTCTGTGCTTGGACTTTGGAGGAGCTGAATTCTCTCCTTTGCCTTTATCCTTCACTCTCTAATTGAGATCCATGGGATAACCCCAGCTGTATTTTGTACCTTTCCCAGTCCCACAGAGGTGTGTGGAGCTCTCAGGCAGTCCCTGGACACGTGGCAAAACAACCTCCTAATCATGAGCTGCAGCACAATCCAGTTCCCACTCTCCTGTCCCTTAGATCCCTGCTAGCAAAGATAAAAGCCATTGCTTGTGGCTCTGCCCTCCCTCTCTGCCATCCTGAAACCTCCCACTCAGCTCTGGAAATAACAGCACACGCTGCTCTGGAAGGATCCAGCAGCAGGAATTTCTCCCTTTGGAGCTTGCTTCTGTAACCAAGGCAGGGTGTCAACCGTGGAATCACAGAACCATGGAATTGTTGCAGTTGGAGAGGACCTTTGAGATCATCAAGGCCTCGTTCCAGCCTGAATTTGGCTCAGCACCCCCTCAGTGCCTCCCTTAGGCACCCCAGGGGCAACCAGCTCCTCCCACTGCTCTGGACCCCACAGATCCCACGGGAGATTCTGGGGGCTTGATGCTTGGTGCTGAGTGACCAAAAACCATCCTGACCACAACCACAGCTGTGGGACACTCTGGGCAAGGAAATTCAGGAACATCCTGCATCTTGCTGCCCTTCACTGCTGGGATGCCATGGATCCCCTGGGCATGGGCCAGAGGGAGTGTCCCAAGGGTATCATGGGATGGTTTGGGTTGGAAGGGACCTCCAGTTCCACCCCCCTGCCATGGGTAGGGACACCTCCCACCAGGAACCCAGGTCTGCACAAGGATGGACAGGGGAGTCAAAGTGACAGCACAGGGCAGGAGATGCAGTCACAGAATCATGGAATCATTGAGGTTGGAAAAGACCTCCAGGCTCATCCAGTCCCACCTGTGACCCGTTCCCAGCTTGTCCCCCAGCCCAGAGCACTGAGTGCCACATCCAGACCTTCCTTGGACACCCCCAGGGATGGGGACAGGAGTCAGTGGACACAAAGTGGTCCCTGGCAGGGAGGGAGAACATTTCCAGGTGTCCTGAGGGAACTGCTCCAGCCTCTCCTCTCTCCCTGGGGCAACCAGGAGTTAACTCTGCTCCTCCCAGCCCTGTTCCAGCACAGGAACAGGCACCTCCTTGCTGATGCCACTCAGCCAAGGGGACAGGGCAGCTAATTCAGATGCTAAACCTGCCTTTGCTGCTTGTTTCCTGTGGGATCCATCCCTTCCCCAGCTCAGACCATTCCCTCCTTATCTGTGTGCTCAGAGCAGGGTCTGTGCATCCCCACACACCCCAGGGCCCTGATCCCAGGACACCCCAGCACTCCTCTACTGCAAATAATAATATCCTTAATTATATATGTTGATGGAGTGCAAAGATTAGATAAACACATTTTACAGAGCCCTGGCAGTGGCTCTGCTGCTCTGAGAGTGCCGAGATTCCTCGGAGCTGCTCCAGGGGTGAATTGGATCCTTTGCACATGGACTCCCTTGGAAGTCTCCTGGTTCTTTCCTGTTGGCTCCTGTTCCTCACACTTGTTTCTGAATTATATCCCACTATTAAGTTGGTTCAGGTGGTTTTCTACCTCAAATATATCCACAGGAAATCCTTTAGTTCACTAAGGGCTTTTCCATTTCCCACCCTTGTAAATATTTATTACAAAGATAACATTCATCATATCCAAAGTATATAAGAGATCCAACCTCCTGAGATCCTGTTACACCTGTTGAGACAGTCTTGGCTTAAGAATTTTAACTAATTTTCCTCAGCAAAGTTGTCTGGGGTGATATTTGTCCTCAACAGACAGAGGTGTAAAGCAGTGAAGGAGCTCCTTGCATTTCTTATGATCATCCCCAGGTCACATTCTCTGTGCAAAAGAGCTTCCTGCTGAAGTGAAAAAAGAAAAAGGAATGAAAGAAAAGGCAAGTTGGGGGGGGAAAAAGAAAAAAAAAGTATTCCTAAAGAATGCCAGAGGCCTCATTTAACAGCAGCTTTTCATGCACTTAATCAAGCTTTAGGTTTTTGTGTTTGTCTTTGATGTTTCTCCAGCAACTTCAAACTGCCAGAGGTGCAAGTGCAGAGAAAATCCTGAGCAGTTCCTGGTTTTCAGAGCTGCTCCCAGAGATGCCCTGTGAGGGCAGCCCAGGGGGGGTCAGAGAGTCACCTCCTGCAGCCCAGGGAGGGGGGACATTGCTGGGGCTCAGGGGGCTCTGAGCTGGACTCTCGGGCTGCTGAAAGCTCAGCACTGCTCTGCAGAGCTGGACTGAACTGGCCTGGTTTGGGAAATGCCTGGACAACCCTCATGGAATCATGGAATGGGTTGGGTTGGAAGGGACCTTAAACCTCCCCCAGTTCCACCCCTGCCATGGGCAGGGACACCTTCCACTAGCCCAGGTTGCTCCAGCCTGGCCTTGGACACTTCCAGGGATCCAAGGGTAGCCACAGCTTCTCTGGGAATTCCATCCCAGCCCCTCCTCACCCTCACAGACAGGAATTCCTTCCCACTATCCCATCTAACCCTGCCCTCTGGCAGTGGGAAACCATTCCCTGTATCCTGTCCCTCCATCCCTTGTCCCCAGTCCCTCTCCAGCTCTCCTGGAGCCCCTTTAGGCTCTGGAAGGGGCTCTCAGGTCTCCCTCAGAGATCTTAGTGCTAAATAAGGGATCAAGGGACAGACACAACCCCTCTGGGCAACCTGTGCCAGTGTCTCCCACCCCTCACAAGGAAGAATTCCTTCCCAATATCCCATCTAAACCAGCACATGGAATTGTGGAATGGTTTGGCTTGGAAAGGACCTTAAAGACCATCCAGTGCCACCCCCTGCCATGGGCAGGGACACCTTCCACTAGCCCAGGTTGCTCCAACCTGGCCTTGGACACTCCCAGGGATCCAGGGACAGCCACAGCTTCTCTGGGAATTCCACCCCAGCCCCTGCCCACCCTCCCAGGGAGGAATTCCTCCCCAGCATCCCACCTAACCCTGCCCTCTGGCATTGGGAAGCCATTCCCTGTTTCCTGTCCCTCCTTGCAAAAAGTCTCCATTCTCTCTCCATCTTTCTTGTAGCTCCTTCAGGCACTGGAATTATTGCAGAATTCCTTCCTGAGCAAACTCCTGGAATGAACAGACTTTCCCAACTGCTTCTTTTCCTTGCACATCAGTGTGTTCCACTGCCACACTTGGGGATTCTCCTTGCTGTGCTTTTATCTAAAAGTCCCTGTGCTTTGACAGAAGGAGGATTGATGGGTTTTTTTGCAGCAAAACAAATCTTTAATGACTGTATTTGTATCTATATTTTTAACACACATAGAGGTTTCAAGGCAGGGAAGAAACTGCAAAGGGTTCTCAATGTGCTGCAGGAATTATTTAAGGTTTTAGAGTCCTGTCTCACAATAACTCAGCTGAGCAGTTCGTTCCCTTCAAGGGGGATGGTTCTTTTCTGTTAAAAATAAGGCTGATTTGCTCAAACAAACATTTTTTACATGAAAGAACACAATGAATTTGTGCTCTCCAAACACAGTACGCAAAGCTCAGACTATTAGCAATTCATTGCAGGGGTAGGACTAACCTTATCCAGTTTTATAACTCGTGTGGATGCACATGTGTGCATGTGGAAATGTCTCCAATCAGCCTATGAAATACTCACTTATGCAATTTTGAAAGACTAAATTGGGATTATTTTAGTGGGGGACCGTGGGCTTTAGTTGCCTAAATCCTCCCACTCAGAATTTTCTAAGACCTCTCCCCAATAAATAATAACTGTAGGATAAAACCTGATGACGATCTCCTGAAGTCAGGGAACCAGAGATTAAAGTTTAGGGGGTTGGGAGGATTTTTTTGTGTTTGGTTTTGGGTTTTTTAAGTCTAAATGCATTCTAAACAGTGGGTTGCTCCTTTATGCTAACTCGGTCTGGGAGAGAATGGAAACACTTGCTGAGAGAGAGGCACAAATAGCTTTGATATCACAGGCATTGGAAAGCTTTATTTACATTCACTCTGTGTGAATTCCAGCTTCCATATGGACCAGCCCATGGATTATGGCTCTGTGGGGGCAGGTGAATAGGTTAGCTGGAGCTTCCTGGGCACGTTGTTGTCTTGCAGCAAAGAACAGAGTTCTCAGTTATTCCTTTGATCCCCCTGACCTACTCCATCATTCCATGTGCTGGGACCGAGGTCCTGTGGAATTGCTCCAAGCAAAGAGGAGAAAATTGAGGGGAAAAACCCCAAGCAAAAGGAGGTTGTGTTGCTCTTCAAGATGATTGTTAATGAGTGTGTTTTCTCTCCACTGGGGACGATGAGAAGCAGAAAAAAGGAGCAGGAAACCCCTTCAGTCCTCTCTCCACCCTTTCCCTGTGCTGTTCCAACACCATGGAGCGAGACACAGCAGGAAGACAAAGCCTGGATGGCAGAGCAGTGAAGCTGTGGTTGTTCCACTGTCTGAATCACAGAATCATGGAACATCCTGAGCTGGAAGGGACCCACAAGGATTGAGCCCAACTGCTGGCCCTGCACAGACACCCCAACAATCCCACCCTGTCCCTCAGAGCATTGTCCAAACCAAGCCCTGGGGAGCCTGGTCAGTGCCCAACCACCCTCTGGGGGAAGAACCTTTTCCTAACATCCAAATCCAACCTCCCCTGATGCAGTTTCGTGCCACTGAGCTGAGGAAGAGCTGCTTTAGCAGAGATGGAGCATCAGGGTCACAAAGCTTTGGGGCTGGACTGGTAACACCATTAAACAGG